GAGAACGGAGAGAAGCACGGAATCATGGATCCCTTACCGGTTCTTTGTGACCCGACCCGCGGAAATGTGGAACCCGATAGATTCCGACAATCCCACCGGCCAAATTTCGACGATTTAAGTCAAGCCACCACCTGGGAATCACTCCACGACCTTCCCTCTACCCATTCCACCCCAAAATTGATGAAATTTGGCCTTGAAATTGTGAAACCTGCATGGTCGATGCAACATGGTTTGTGATGGCGATCCACCAATCCTGAGGCTAACTATGTCAACCACCATCACCAATAGACTCCTCTCAACCTCAGGAGCAAAGCCGAAGCAATGGAGGAGGCATTAGAGCTAGTATGGAGGTCAAATCAAGGACACCCAAATTCTAGGGTTCCACCATATTTGAGGAAATTCTGAACACTTCCTACCCAAATTGGACTTGGCCACAGGTATGAAACTTTCTCCCCTCGTTGAGATCTTCATTCTTGTAAAATTTGAGAATTTTTTGAAATAGTTGAATTTTCCTGCGAGTTAGGAGGGTCGGCCGTCGTGTGCAGTGGTGCATGGCGGCGGCGCGTGGGCAGAGACACCACTTGACCTGCCTAGGCTAATATGGGTGCCCCAATTCCATATTAGACATCCGATTGACGAAATTCCGTTGTTTGGTTATATTTCCGTTAAGGGCTGCCACTTGGTTATTATATGATTCGACGATTTGACCATTGGATCGTCACCAAAATTTAACATGTTATAGTACGTAATATTTCAAGACAATAGGAACTTACAAATTTGGAATTCGACATACAGATCTTCCTGAATTGGATTTCTAAGTTTGTAAAATCAAACGTCGGCCGCCACTTAATTTTAGCGTTTGGCAGAGATCCGACCGTTGGATCGTTCTGAAACTTTAGGATGTTGTTCTAGAAACTTATTGAAACTCTTGGGAAATTATATATCGGAAATATGAGGTGCGGATCTTCCGGATCGAGTTACATAGGGTTGTGGACCCTATCGTCGACCTATGACTGATGGTTGACCTTTGGTCAATGGATTGCAAATCATTCTAGAACATCCTTGGGGATGTGTTTTATGTAAGTTACGTGTTCTATCGATAAGAATTTTGAGACGTGATTTGATATTTGTTCTAGGCGACGATCGATCGTGACGCCGCGACATTCGTGTTAGGGTGTTGTAGTGTGGACTTCAAGTGAGTGAATCTTTTCTTTTATATAGTATATACGTATTTTTTAGTTTCCATTTATACATTGAAAGAGAATTTACTAAAGATGCCTAGCTTAGACTAATGCTTATAAGAATTAAAGAAATAACGAAAAATTATGAAGTGATCATAAATCCTACAGGATGCACATGTATGAATATGTTTATTGATGCCATGATTATACCTATGGCTATGAATGATATTATGTTGATTGAAACTATCGAACCACTATGGCATGACTATATTTATGTTTTATGCTAATCGTTTAATGCACCGGTGTTAGTGCTCGCCCAGGACCAAGGCTAGTCTTTCACATGTATGTTCACATCCACACCGCATGCTCGCCTTGGATCCAAGGAGGTGCCAATCCTGTCATACAGGTTGCAATAGGCAACTCCAACTTGTATGTGACCGCGAATAGTGCCAGTTTTTACGTGATTGTAGCACTAGAGCGTATATCATTATTACACCTAGTCCTGTTCATGTCAGAATAACTCTGCATGAACTTGTGTGTCAGCATGTGTTGATGATCACTTGGTTTGATATGTTTACTTATGCAAAAGTATATGATTACTGACATCATGCACTTATATATGAACTATTGTGCCATATTGATATCTTGATATTTTGCAGGCTACGGTGAGTATTTCCATACTATATGTAGTATGTGTATCTTGGAAACTATACATATTTTATGGCGAGGGGTTATAACGTTTTCAAAGATTTTTATTAAAAATTTATTTTCTGGCCCACTCACCATTGTTTTTCGCCCCTCCAGGTTTTAGTAGCTGAGCTTTCTTATCGACGAGGATCCTTGGAAAATCTTGGAATAGACAATTACCTTCGATGGTATAATTCTCACCCTATCTTATTGTACTATACTTATGGTCTGACATCACGTGTGAAATGAGTTCATTCCCGCTCACAGCGCACTCTTATATTTAGGCACTTTTATGTTTAAATTTATTCACAAATTCCACCACACTATATTTTATGGCTTCGTCACCTTCCAGGTGTTGGCTAACACAACTCGATTCTGAGTCCAAGTGGACATTTCAGGTCGGGGTGTGTCATAGTGCCTAGGCGGCTAGGCGGGCACCTAGACGGCCTAGGCGGGGCCTAGGCGGATTTATGTAAATTTATTATATATCTTGTAAATAAGTGTCTATTTACACCTAAAAAAAAACTATACTTGTATGGATAATAAAAGAACGATAAAATGCAAAAATAGAAGTAGAAGAATACACAAATTATATACATCCAAAAAGTTCAATATTTAAAAAACAGTAAGCATATAATCATAATGAGGAGGATTTGGATGATAGACTAAATTCTTCTTGTTCATGAATGATGATCCTTGCATTGGATTGGACATAGACTAAATTATTTAACCTTGATGTATCTAGTTTATTTCTTTTCTTTGTATGTATCCCCTCAAAAGTGCTCCAATTCGTTTCACTATTGGATGAACTTATAGTAAATCCATTATTTGCAAATTAGGTACACCATTTCCATAAGTATATCACCATGAAACCAAAAAAGAAAAAGCACACAATTAATAAAAAAATATAAAAAAACTGCCTAGGTGCCACCTAGTTCTCCGCCTAGGAGCCGCCTAGCCCGCCTAGGACCGCCTAGGTGGCCGCTAGCTCCAGATTGATTTTTCGAAACAATTTGCCCAAAATCGGGGCGGGCCTTCACCGTCTAGCACCTAAGCGCCGCCTTGGCCAACTTTTAGAATACTGTCTTCTACTCTCTACAATCTAAAATGGTCTTGCTAGTGAATATCGCTTAGCATTGGGATATGGCGTGTATTGCGAAAAACATGAACAATCTATCATTAAATGAAGAATCAGAATCATATAATTTATGTCCTATCTTAATAAGTCTTACCACATAGGGATTATGTAATTGGTTGATAAGAGTTTAGACTCAATTATTTTAACCATATTGGGGCTGCAGGATCACTAAATACTAAGTTACTTACATAATATGTTACTCGAGAATCAAGAATCAAGTGATCTGATTGATAAGTCATTGGTACTCACAATATTTTTTTTTACATTGCAAGCTCCAATGATGCTTCTAAACATAAGGCCTTATTATCTTTATTAATTAATAAAATCCTCGTTGTCAACCAAAAGAGAGTGAAAAGACAACTTAGTCTTCTATCACACACAAAAAAAAAAAATGATGGGCAATAATGTAATTTCACAGGTCCAAATTTTACTGTTTTTTATTAAAGCCTCACCTACAGGTGATGTTAAAATATCTCTAATATTTAAAATTTATATATAAAAAAAAAACCAAAAACAAAAGCCTCTCTCTCTCTCTCTCTCTCATTTTCTAAAAAAATGTGTGTAGGCAAATGCTAATTTGTATTACAGGATTTGCGTAACTTGGATAAGTTACTCGATTAAATGAATGTTCAATGAAAATGTAGTATATTTTGTCCAAATGAAAGCATAAGATGAAGAAATCATGAAATAAACTTATCCTTCCTAATAAGCTGATCCCCACAAAAAAAAATTGAGTGGGATAAGCTTTCTTCTTGATTTCTTCATCTTCTACATTCACTTAAACAAATATATAAATTTGACATCCATATTTATTTTTAACATTCATTGAAGTTAGAGATTTATCCAAGCCAGCCCAATTCTAAATAACAATCCCTCAGCCTCAGATTTCTACGTTTGAGTGTGAGGCTTGCCAGGAGTATTAGAAGGTTTACCAGAAGTCATTCCAGCCTTTGCTATCAACTTATAGCATATTTTTCCTGATTCACAATAATACTACCATTCTCCTTGTAGGAAATCAGCAAACCCAAGAAGTATGTCAACTTATTTACTTTGTTCCTGATTCACAAGGGATATTTTTTATAAAAATAAATTAATTTTGTTGTACCAAGTAAGGCCATTTTTAACCAAAATGGCTAAATATAGCTAGCGGCAAGAATTACAGCCGTGCAAAAAAAATATTTTTAAATGAATTGTGTAAGATCATACTCATATACCATTTCCAACCGAAGGGGCTAAACATAACTCCCTCAATAATTTTTTAGTTTTAACTTTATGCTTTAAATTTATTAGTTAATATAATTAAACAACCGTTGGATGTTTTCAAATGTAGTTGTTGAATTTGAATCAATTATTGCAATTGAGAAGCTGGACTACAAAAAATGGACTATGAGGGAAGGCTACATTTGGAAATGAGTTTTTTGACAAATCAGTTGGAAATAGTTTTTCGACAAATTAGATTATTTTTTTTTTATTTTTTATTTTGCTTTTAAACCTTTAAGTCTCTCTATTGGAGATGACCTAAGAAAGCTGCAAGCTGTAAACCATTAACTTTTGTTCTTTAGACTTCTAGTTTCTCATTGGGAAGAAACTGCTATTCATATAAAGTATAGAGCAGAATATATCTTTGCTCTTATTTATATGTTTCCATCTCCATGGGTTTTTATACGTAAATTTAATTGAATAAAAATAATCACACGAATTTATTCCTTCAAATGGGAGACGAATATATCATAAATTTGGAGCATAAAATAACCAGCGGCCCACCCTAAATTATGAAATTAGAGAAATTAATCATTAAATAACAGCTAAATGAGACTTTGTGGCCTAACTACAAAGAAATGTGGCAATCATTATCGAACATGGGTGCCACCCCGGAGTTTTGACACTTTATACCCCAAAATCCAACTACTACGGCAGCTCCAAATTATAAATAAACACAATGAACCATTCACACAACACTTTCCGAATCAAAAGAATATCAAGACTTTCATAAAATGCATACAACATTGTACTACTGCTTCACCATCACCATTTTTTTGCTCCTTACTATCTCAAGAATTGCAGATGCTGCAACAAGGAAAACCAAGTACCTAAGCCAGGCCAACCAATTTGTGGATCCTCAAAATGCTGCTCGGTCAGCCAGCAGAATCCCACCATTGGCGTGGGATGCAAAGTTGGCAAGGTATGCACAATGGTACGCAAGCCAAAGGCGGTTCGACTGCACGTTAAGGCACTCGAACGGGCCCTACGGGGAGAACATTTTCTGGGGGAGTGGCATCGAGTGGACGCCGGCTCAGGCAGTGACCGCTTGGGTTTCAGAGCGGAAGTCTTACAATTACTGGGCAAATTCTTGTGCTACAAGGCAGCAATGTGGGCATTATACACAGATTGTGTGGAAGTCAACAAGCAAAGTTGGCTGTGCTAGAGTCAATTGTTTTGGTGGTAGAGGTATCTTCATGGTTTGCAACTATGACCCTCCTGGGAATTACATTGGAGAAAGGCCTTACTAAAGTAATTAATTTTCCTTATATCTTTCATAAAAATTGTTTGCTACATGCATATGCACTCCTATACCTTCATGTGCCTTTGTGGCAATTGAGTACGTATCATTATGTGTATTTTTGTTAATCTATGTCCCGTTATAACTACTAAAATTAATAAGAGGTGCATGAACTTTGAGGATGATTGAGTTCATAGTTGTATCATTTTCCTTTACATAGGTTCCTCTTGAATAACTGGTGCCATCACATGGATAAAATCTTTTTTGGTTTTGCATTGTCAGGCCATGTACACTCATTTTAGCTTCTCAGACATTCTTCTTTATTTTAGATAATCAGGTTGATTAAATCAAATGAAATTAACAAGCAAAATGATATCGAAGAAAAAAAACAAAATTAAATAGGAGAGGTAAGAGCCTGTTAAGGGGGCGTGTTTATTGTTTAACATTTCCCTTAGCATATTTCTTATCTGACGATTGGTCATATGACAATTTAGCAATATTATATAAGTGCATAATTTAGGAGTGTCCAATAAGTAAACAATATTTCTCTATTTCGTCACCATATAACACACACACAAACACGCGCGCGCGCGCGCACACACACATATATATAAAATAAAACACACACACACACACACACACACACACATAATGTTTTGTATACATACATATACATATATATTTATTCAATTTGACCTCATAACTAATCCCATTTCAGTATTGATATCATGAAAACTGTTTGAAATGTGCCATAAAGGCAATCATAAGATGATACTTTACGGATAGTTTACATGGTAAACTAAACTAGTTTATTGTAAGGGCAAAGATATTGTTTAAAACCATCTCCTTAAACGTTATACGCTTAAACGATAAGTCCAAGGAATATATAAATAAGAGAATGTGATAATAAAAATGTTAGATTCATGAGGCCTTTCACTTTCGTAAACATATCCTAAACGTTCTTGATCATAGAATTGACAATTGGTCATTGGCAATCTGGATAGATCAACACATATATGTCTTCTCTCCCTGAAGAGTGACTGATCTCGAGTCATTGGTGTGATGACATCAAGACAAGTATGTAGGTACTCAATAGAGAGTGATTCCACTTAACGCGATCAACTAGGAGTTCTCATACTCATGTCACATGAGAACTCATAGTTGGAATAATGCAAAGTCGTCCTTTGACCTGAGACATCATATTTGTCTTGTGGTTAGGTCTTTAGTCTTTGACTATGTTAAAGGCATTCCATTTGAGAGTGCCCATGACATAGTTGGGGTTAACCTCATTCTACATGATCACATCCAGTAGAATACTTTATAAGATTTGGAAAGACTCTCTGGCCATAGTATAAATGAGATTTAGGAAGTCGTTCCTAATCACATCTAAGGTAATCATATAGATAGGAGAATCACAATGGATCATAGACATGAATTAACTATCATCCAAACACTATGATCAAGAGTATTGAATTAGAAAAGGGTCGTATTGCATGTAATCCCAAGCTGAATAGGTTCTGCCATATCTTCTAATTAAATTGGGTAACCATGACATACTACTAGGTGTCACTCATACTTTGTAGAAAGCCCTAAAGATGTATAATCACTAAAGGAAGAATTGAAAGTAAGTTTGAATTCACAATCAATTAGTAAGAGTTCTAATCGCTCACTGCCTTGTTAAAAGAAACCTAATGGATCACACACCGTGTAAGGTAATGATGGAAGGATATAACAAAGATGAGTAAGGACAACTAAAAAGTTTAGTTGTGTATGATCAAGAATAATTAATTAGTTATTTAATCATATGAAAGGTTCTTATTGGGCTTCGGAGCCCAAATGGATTTTGTTCCACAAGGCCCTTTGAGTTTAAGTTGTATGAAAAACTAAAACAAAATGGGAACTAACCTAGTAACTTCTACCAAGGCCGGCCATAGAGAGAGGGAGTGTGATGGTGGAATTATTACAAGTTTGCCACTCACTTGGAAAGAGATATAAAGGCAACTTTATAGCCTTAACCTTATTATGGTTTTCTTTAAGGAAATATGAGAGAACACAAGCCCTCTTTTTCTCTTTAGGAGGCTAGCCATGTAGGAGGGGGATACTATCATCTTCCTCCTCCTATATCACTCATGTTCTTCCCTTAATCCTTCCTTGGTGTCGAAACTTAGAGGCCTCCACGTTTGGTGGCTTTTGGAGAATCCTTTCTTCCATCCAAATCCAAGAAGATATGGAGTTAAAAAGTAAGGTTCATGCATCCATATCCATGGAGCCAAGGAGCAAGAATGCAAAGGAATAAATGCTCTGCAAAGCAAAGAGGTGCTTCAAAGGTATAAAGTATCTCAACTCATTTTTTATTTTGAGTGGAGTCTTGGTTTACCACCACTAATATTCTTTGAATTTCATGGTTTTAGTTTTGTTTTAAAGTGCCTACAAGCATGCTTCCGCCACTTAATTTTCAAATGCATGTGTTATGTTGCTCAGTGAACTTAGTTTATTAAAAATTATCCTTCAAGAAGTGACTCTGAGGAGAATTTATTAATAAAAAATTACGATATGTCAAGGGGACATGAAGCCAAACCCTGACCACTTAAAGAGTTCATAAAAAACAAGTTAAAATCTCTTTTAGCAAAACCTATAACAAGGAAGCTGAGAAAGGTTATGAGAATAAGCAGCTGCAACACAAGGAGGGCATGAAACACACCAATTAACACTGGGATCATCAACACTATATTGGTAAAACAATCAGTAACTTGATTACCCTCCCTAAACATATGAGAAATATGAACCTGCATGGTGGATACCTTTCATTAAATATGTAAATTGATTGTTAGATTTGCTATTTATTTTGATATTTGGACTTTTCATATTTGTAATTAAGCTCATTCTACATGATCAAATGATGAACATTGAAGTATGTGCATGCATTAACATGTTTACCTACAATACACCTATGATTCAATTAACAAGTTACCTTCAAGCGATTACAATCACTTGTTTACCTTTCTTTAATCATTTCACACAAGCCATTAAGGCAATAATTAAGGATTGACTAGGTCACTAGGAATCCTACAATTGAAACGAAAGTACTGGGTCCAAGATATGGGCTAGAAGGATAATGAATAAAATAGACCAAAAAGTTGCAAGCGTGTCCCATAAAAATAAAGACGTTTCTAAGGGGTGGACCTTGCATGAGGGCTGAAATCCTACGGTCGTTATTTGACGAACTCACACGTAGAATCGATTTGTTGTGACCCAGTGTGATTCAAAACTTTTAATTTTTTTATTCACTAATATGTTTTTGTAGGAGAGAAAGGGAGAGTTGAGGGATTATTCGCGCATTGAAAAGGGAAAGAGAGGCAGAGAGAGGAAGCCGGGATGGGGAGTCGACTTTCAGGTGGATTGAAGCTCTATTTCGATTGTGACTGGTAATACTATATCTTTAATTTTTCTTGGTTCACTGGGGGTTTTTTGGCGAGAGAGAGAGATTAGGGTTACCTTTGCAGGGAAAGAGAGGTAAGGAAAGGAAGCTGGTGAAAGGTGGGAGTGTATGATTGTGATGTGGTTGTGGAACCATGATTTTCCAGGGCCGGAGCAAGTGGATCAGAATACAGTTACTTCAAAAGTCCGATCATGGACTCAATAGCTTTGAGTGAAGCTAGATTAATGAAGCAGTGATGCCACCATCACCTTGTTCTAAGGCAACAAGAAAAGTCTAAGTGACTTCCCTGGAACGACCATACTTGTTTCATAAGACACAAGATCTGATCTGGATATGGACACAATTAGATTCTTGATAAGTCTTAGAATTCTTACAATCTGGGAATTGGCATGAGCCATAAGTAATCACAACTCTTAAAAGGGTGCAATATTTACTTCTAGATATCCTCTAGGATTCTCCCACCGTAGAACAAGGATTATATCCTAAAAATATCTTTCTCCTAACTAGCATAAATACACCATTCTAGGGTTCGTCTCTTGCAACGAATTAATCACACTATAATTCTCTTGCCCACTTCTTGAATTGTATACTTGCTTACTAACTTGATCGTTGGAGAGCCTTTGGCTGACACACCTTTACCTTCTGGTTTTAGGCTTGCTCACAATTGTTTGCTATTTTATAGGTTACTCAGATTTATACCTCGATCATTCATGGCGGTGTGCGAATTTGCTTATGACATTTGGTGCTTTCATTGAGGATGAACTTATATTTCTCAAAACCAGATCACTTTACCCATATGGAGGCTCTTCCTAAGCGATCATGCTGCAACATCATTTTAGTCTCACACGACGAGAAGCTTTCTTCATGAATGAAGTATGGGAAAACATGTTGAAGATACATGCGTCAATAATAAACCTTGGAAGAAGTTTACAAGCTAGATAGCGAGCAAGACTCACTAAACTTGAAGTGCGAGTGAAGGCTATCGAAAACACTTTCTTTCATTTAAAGAAGCCAAATGTCCAAGCAACACTTGCTTAATCCCTAACAAGAATTGTTAATCTGAGCCTGGGGGTGTAGTTCGAATGACCTACACCTAAAACGGGATGCAGGAAGCCTCGAAAAGAACATAGCCTTTTTTGGATTGGATACCCTGGAAAAAGACCTTTCTGCAGAATCAACTGCCTAGGTGGAAAGCAAGAACACTTAAGAAGGTGACGAGAAGGAATGAAGGAAACATGCTGAAGGTCCCGAATAGTGGCCCCAATTGACGAGCCACTTCTGTTGACCTTATTACCTTAATGTTCTCCATCCATAATTTAAAGGTTGTTAGCTTCATTGTGACAACTCTCTTGGCATAAAGCTGCAGATCTCTAATGTTATGGTTGGTCGGGTTTTGATAGATAACAAATCAGATATAAGTATTATTTTTAAGGGAGTCACTGAAAGAATGGGCATTCTCGATGATGCCAATAAGAGAAGATCTATACTCTAGACCCTCAATGGAGCCCCAGTGTAGAAACTGAGGATAATGAAACTGGCAATTCAGGAAAAACCATACGATCACTTGGTAG